CTGCTGCTTCTACTGTAGCCTGTGCCCTTCTGTCCTGGCTCAGAGAGCTGGGTGTACTGAGGAGCTGACTGAAAGCAACGTTCTCCCACTGTGATCCTACCACTCAAATGTTGCCTCGGATGATCCAGAGAGTCTGATGGGCACAGTTGGCACTAACTTTTTTTCTCCTAGATGCATGATAAAGCTGTGAACTCAAATCCCAGTACCACCAAAAAAAAAAAAAAAAAACAACCCAAAAAGCTAAAGTGATTTTTCTGTGAAAGTAATTCAGGGCTGGATATAATGGTACACATCTGTAGACCTTGCACATGGGGGGCTGAGGCAGGAGGGTTGTGAATTGGAAGTCAGCCTGGGCTACATAGTAGGGTCCTGTCTCAAAACAAAACAAAAAACTCATGCAATTAGTGTTAATTATAGAAAACTAGAAGAAAAAGAATCCAAGTTGAGTGTCTCCATGTGACTTGAGGCTCAGCAGACCGCTGCTTATCTGGTAGAAGGGGCAGGTGTGTGCTGGGCAGCCTGTGCGTCAGGAGTCACATCCATTCTTAAGGCAATGTGTGTGTGTGTGTGTGTGTGTGTGTGTGTGTGTGTGTCATTGCTACTAGTGCTTGCACTCAGGGCCTAGGCACTATCCCTGAGATTTTTTTTTTCTCTTATGACTAGCGCTCTACCACTTGAGCTACAGCCCCATTTTCTGGCTTTTTTGGTGCTTAATTGAAAATGAGTCATAGGACTTTACTGCCCAGGCTCTCTTCAAATTGTGATTCTTAGATATCAGTCTCTTGAGTAGCTAGTATTATAGATAGGAGCCACCAGCACACATCTTAAGGCAGTCCTCTTTTAGGGCCCTAGTTTGACCCTTTGCTGCTTGACAGTGGATGGTAGGACCTTCAGTGTGGACCTTTTGGGGTTGCCAATCACCTGCTTTTGGTGTTTGGCTGAGGGCCTTGGCTGCCTCCTTATGGATGGAACTATTCTTCCAAGTCACTGTCTGGTGGATTTCTACTTAGTGTGGCCTACACAATGCCTGCTTGCTGTCTGTCCTCTTTTCTATGGAGCCACACAGCTAACTAAGTGACTTTTCTTGTATCTCTAGCTTGCATTGTGGTTTTGGTAGTGAAGGGTAGAAACTGAGATGTTAAAGGATAACTCTTGGCTTTGCTGCATAAGGAGCTTATCTGTTCTTCCTTTATACTTCCTGACTGTCTCACCTGTCTGACAAGTGATATTTCCTCTTTTATGTTGCCCTTATATAGAAGAAGAATTAGAGGGCTGGGAGTGTGGCTTAGTGGTAGAGTGCTTGCCTAGCACGCATGAAGCCCTAGGTTTGATTACTCAGTGCTACATACATAGAAAAAGCCAGAAGTGGCACTATGGCCTAAGTGCTAGCCTGAGCAAAAGAAGCTCAGGGAAAGTACACAGGCCCTGAGTTCAAGCTCCAGGACTGGCCCCCAAAAAAAGATTAGAGCACTTACACTATGGGGGTAAGTACTTCCTCTTCAAGTCTCTTCAGATATATCCTGCTCCCTGAAAAGCAAGCCCAGAATTGAAGTGTTGGGGAGCTAATCTGCTCTATCTCTGTCCTGTCTTTTGCTTAGGAAATGGGAACCTTTGCTTCCTTCCTTCTTTCCAGATTGCTCCAAGGCAGCCTGTATCCTTTGTGTTCTTAGCATAGCCTGGCTCATTACCAACAAGGAAGTGAATACTCAGTTTCTTTTCCTTAGCAATCCCAGGTAAACAGGCATTTGTTTTTAGATGTACTAAGATTAGGCTTTTGAGAATGGACTACTTTACTAGATTCTACTGCTGGAAGAGCATACAATGCATAATACAGTGAGCAGTATAGTCCTTAGCCCTCCCTAAGCACCAGCCCAGTTACACCATTGTCTGAATCTGTAAGTGACGGTACTGAGGTGTCTCTGGACTTGTGGTAATTGCTGATGAAACAGACCAGGTGATGGACCATGGGCCCATGGTGCATTTGGGGATAGAGGTGAAATTTGAATCTGGGAATGTGCAGTATATTTACGCCTTGCAGGGATATTTCTCATCCAGATATTTATGTATGGCATCAATACTAGGGCTGGAACAGAACTGGGGAATTGGTGCCTCTGACTCCAGCTGAGCATCTTGGCTCTAAAATGTCCAAGTAGATCTCAGAGAATTGACCACTAGAGCCACAGTTCCACTTCCAGTTTTCTGGAAATAGGAGTCTCATGGACTTTCCTGCCCAGGCTGGCTTTGAGCTGCAATCTTCGGATCTCAGGTTCCTGAGTGTAGCTAGGATTACAGGCGTGTGCCACTGGCACCCAGCTCCTTGAGCTTTTTTGCTCAAGGTTAGCACTCTACCACTACACTTATGGCTTTTTTGGGTAGTTACTAGGAGGTAAGAGTTTCATGAGCTTTCCTGCCCAGGCTGGCTTCAAGATCCTTAGGTCTCAGCTTCCTGAGTAGCTAGGATTGCAAGTATGAGCCACCAACGTCCAGTTGTTTATTGTGTTGTAAAGTGAGCTTAGCTTTCTCAACATCACTGTGTCCCTGCTGCTCCTGGCCTTTTCTAACAGTTGTCATTCATTTTCCACAGGGATGATGGTAAAGTTCGGTTTTGCTTCTTCAATCCATTTCCCCCATATCAGCTATTTGGTCAACTGTGCCTTTGCTACACCTCTCTGTGGCTTCCCATTGACGTTCCATGAAGTTCAGACTCCTTCAGCTAGCATGTAGACTATGTGTTCACAGTTTCATTTCCTAACCCAGCTTTGGCTCTTTTTAGGTCTGCCCATCCTGTAACCCAGCCATACTGATCTCAGTTCTTCCACTGTGTGGCAGCTTCCTTGCATACTGCTGCTTCTGCATGGCACATACTTCTTTTATTCTCCCACCTCCTTCACCAGGTCTTAACTTTTACTTCCTCAGGGAACCCTTAGCTTTGAGGCAGTGAACCCTGGCTCTCTAGCTCACCCCTGACTTGACATTTTGGAGGACTGAATCCAGCACCCCACCCTCCTGTCCCTAGCACTGTTCTAACACAGAGACTCTCTGTGGAAAGCATGCATGACCTCTAGGGCTCTCTAAAGAGAAATTTACCACACCTGTTTTTACTGAATTACTCAACTTTAGCAAGGACCCACCAGCTCTGGAAAGCTCAGTCATTTCCAAGTGCCTCCTGAGATCACCAGACAAGTTGGTGTGAATCAGCTCCTCCTGTTGTACCTCTGGCTCTTTAGATATGAAGACCCTGCAGCATGGGTCCAGGAGAACCTGTTTTAAGTTTGAGTTTTTCATTCCTTTTCATCATATATATATATATTGTTTTTGTCAGTTATGGGGCCTGAACTCTGGGCCTGGGCACTGTCCCTGAGCTTTTCAGCTCAAGGCTAGCGCTCTACCACTTGAGCCATAGTGCCACTTCTGGCCTTTTCTGCTTATGTGGTGTTGAGGAATTGAACCCAGGGCCTCATACATGCAAAGCAAGCACTATACCACTGAGCCACCTTCCCAGCCCAAAGATACTGGCTTTTTTTTGGCCAGTTGTGGAGCCTGAACTCTGGGCCTGGGCGCTGTCCCTCAGCTCTTCAGCTCAAGGCTAGTGCTCTACTACTTGAGCCACAGCGCCACTTCCGGCTTTTTCTGCTTATGTGGTACTGAGGAATTGAACCCAGGGCCTCATCCATTCAAGGCAAGCACTTTACCACTGCGTCACCTTCCCAGCCCACTTTTTTTTTTAATCGGTCGTGGGGCTTGAACTCTGGTCCTAGGCACTGTCCCTGGTTTCTTCAGTTTAAGGCGAGTGCTCTACTTTGACCCACAGCACCATTTCCTATCACATTCTTGAGTATGGTATTTTACTATGGTTTTGCTTTGCATTTCCCTTATGATTAGTTGAATATCTTTTTATGTGCTTCTTGGCCATTTGTGTCTTTTTTTTGGTACTGGGGGTCGAACCCAGGATGTTGCACTTGCTAGGCAAGCACTTTGCCACTGAGCTACATCCCAGCCCTTCTTGGCCATTTGTATACCTTGGAAGTTTTCCTGTCAAGTCTTTTGCTCTTTTTGTTTGTTTGTTTATACTGGGGATGTGCAGGGCTTTGCACATGGTAGGCAAGTGCTCTACCACTTGAGTCACACCTCCAGACTTCTTTTGTGTGTGTGTGTGTGTTCTAGTACTGGGGCTTGAATTCAGAGCTTAAGCACCATCCCTTAGCTTTTCTTTTTTGCTCAATGCTGGCACTCTTCCACTTGAGCCACAGCTCTGCTTCTGGCTTTTTGGTGATTAACTGGGGAGATAAGAGTCTTATGGATTTTCCTGCCCAGTCTGGCTTTTGAACCCTAAACCTTAGATCTTAGCTTCCTGAGTAGCTAGGATTACAGTTGTGTATTACCAGCACCTGGCTGAACAGTAAGTTTGAGTTTTCATTTCTCTTGTCAATCACTACCTAGGATTAAAGTACTTAACTTTAGTTCTATCTTAAGAATAGATTTTACTTTTTTAGCTGGAGCAAGAAAGCCAGGAAGCTGGAAGTCATGATTTCAGTATATGGTACTCTGGCTAAAGCCAGTGGGGTCATGGTTATACACTACCTTGTATGTCTTTAGCTTCAAAACATTAAGAACTCTTTTCATGAGAAATCAAAATGTAAGGGCTTTCCAAGTGCAACTAGTATGTCAGAAGAGGCTGCATTCATTTTTTTTTTTCTTTGGGGGTCCAGTCTTGAGGCCTGAACTCTGGGTCTGGGCGCTGTCCCTTAGCTCTTTAGCTCAAGGCTAGCGCTCTACCATTTGAGCCACAGTGCCACTTCCGGCTTTTTTTTTTCCTTTTTGCTTATGTGGTGCTGAAGAATCGAACCCAGGGCCTCAGGCATGCAAGATAAGCGCTCTACCACTGAGCCACCTTCCCAGCCCTTTTACCATTTTTCTTGTCTTTTACCAAGAAATATTTGAGAAGGGAGATGGAATACTCATTTGATAACCAAAAATTTTGTCTGTGCTTTTTTTTGAAGGTACATGGGAATAGGACTCTCAGCTCAAGGAGTCAACATGAACAGACTTCCCGGTGAGTTTAAGAGAACTCTGTTCTCCTGGTCTCTCCTGTTCCATGAGAATCATGGTGGCAGCTCAGAGACTGAGGAGGATTTTATTTGCAGGGTACTTATATTAAGCCAAGTCACTGGAGAAAAGGATAGCAGTACAAACCATTTTGCAACTGCTGCTTCTCATTTCGAGGAGTCCATTGGCTGAGATGAAGGTTATTTGGGTTTTGGGAGTGTGATTGGTGGGCAGAGAGTAGTAGTGGCCTTAACTGTTTAGAGACTTTAATAATCTCTCTCTCAGGGCTGGGAATGTGGCTCAGTGGTAGAGTGCTTGCCTTGCATGCCTGAGGCCCTGGGTTCGATTCCTCAGCACTACATAAGCAGAAAAAGCCAGAAGTGGCGCTGTGGCTCAAGTGGTAGAGTGCTTGCCTTGAGCTGAAGAGCTGAGGGACAGTGCCCAGGCCCAGAGTTCAGGCCCACGACCGATAAAAAAAAAAATCTCTCTCTCTCTTTTTCTCTTTCTCTTGTGGTATTGATTTTAAACTCAGCACTTTGTAGGCAAGTACTCTACCACTTGAGCCATACCTCCAGCATAGTAATAACTTTTTGTTTGTTTGTTTGTTTTTTGGCCAGTTGTGGGGCTTGAACTCTGAGCCTGGGCACTGTCCCTCAGCTCTTCAGCTCAAGGCTAGCACTCTGCCACTTGAGCCACAGCACCACTTCTGGCTTTTTCTGCTTATGTGGTACTGAGGAATCGAACCCAGGGCCTCATGCATGCAAGGCAAGCACTCTACCACTGAGCCACCTTCCCAGCCCCTAACTTTTTTTTTTGGGTCTGAACTCTGGGCCTGGGCGCTGTCCCTCAGCTCTTCAGCTCAAGGCTAGCGCTCTACTACTTGAGCCACAGTGTCACTTCCGGTTTTTTTCTTTTTGCTTATGTGGTGCTGAGGAATTGAACCCAGGGCCTCAGGCATGCAAGGCAAGCGCTCTACCACTGAGCCAACTTCCCAGCCCCCTAACTTTGTTTTTTTGATTCAGAGCTTTGCTGTGTAGCCCAGACTAGTCTCAAACTCATGATCCTCTTATTTCTGTCTCCTGAGTGCTGGAATTACAAATCCTTTTAATTGTCAAATCCCTTTAATATTAACTTTAACTTTAGATGAGACGTTTGACAATTAATGTATCTCTAGGCTTGCTGGCCATACTAGAGCTTTAATTTTCTGCAGATGAATATTTCATTTGTGTCTGCTCATATAGTTGGCATAACTTTTTTTTTTTTTCCAATACTAGGGTTTGAACTCAGGACTCATGCTTGTGCAGCTTGCTTGCTTGACAAGCAACCAGCCTTGCTTTTTGCTGGTTATTGTGGACATAAAATCTAGCAAACTTTTCTAATTGAGATACCTTGAACCTCAGTCCTCCAGATCTCAGCCTTTTGAATAGTCAAAATTACATGTATGAGCTACTGATGCCTGTGCTGTGCTGGTTATTTTTGAGGTAGTCTCACTTTGGCCTGGGCAAGTGCCTTTGCAGTGAACTGCCTATTATACCTAACTTCTTCCATTGCGATAATGTCTCATGTACTTTTATCCTGGGCTGGCCTGGAACTGTGGTCCTCCTGATCTCAGTCTCCTAACATAGTTGAGGTGACTGATGTGTACCACTATGCCAGCTGTGGGTTGAGAAGGGTTCTTGCATAAATACCAAGAGGTCTTGAACTGCATTCCCTATATCTCAGCCTCCTAAGTAGCTAGAATGACAGGCATGAGCTACTGATGCTCAGCATTTGTTTGTTTTCTTATTATTTTAGTGCTAAAGATTAAACCTAGGGTCATGCATATGCTAGGTAAAGGTTCTTTCACTGAGGTATAGCCCAGCTAAGTTTGCTGTTTTTTTGTTTTTTTTTTTTGCTTCTGACATTTACAGAAGGACACTGATGTTTTATTAACATGTCTGAGCTTATAGTCCTCACATTTCTTAAAATTTATTCATTTATTTTTTGCCAGTCCTGGGGCTTGAACTCAGGGATTAGACACTGTCCCTGAGCTTCTTTTTGTTCAAGGTTAGTACTCCACCACTTGAGCCACAGCGCCACTTCCAGCCTTTTCTTTCTTTTTAAAAAAAATTTTTTTTTAACTAAATTTTTTTATTTTTAAGAAAGAGAAAGAAAGGAGAGAGAAAGAGAATGAGAGAGAGAGAGAGAGAGAGAGAGAGAGAGATTAGCCCATGGAGTATTCCAGCTCTTGGAGACACCCATACACAGTTACCTGATGTCTTTCATTGCTATCCCTTCCTGTCTTTATGTTTTTTTTGTTTTTGTCCATTGTGGGGCCTGAACACTGGGCCTGGGCGCTGTCCCTCAGCTCTTCAGCTCAAGACTAGCACCCTACCACTTGAGCCACAGCACCACTTCTTGCTTTTTCTGCTTATGTGGTGCTGAGGATTCGAACCTAGAACCTCATGCATGCAAGGCAAGCACTCTACCACTGAGCCACCTTCCCAGCCCACTTCCAGCTTTTTCTGTTTGTGTGGTACTGAGGAATTGATCCCAGGGCTTCATGCATCCTAGGCAAGCACTCTACCACTAAGCCACATTCCTAGCCCTAGTCCTCACATTTGGCTGGCATTTTGGATGTCAATAGAAATTTACCTTTAAAAAAAAAAATTATCCTGCCGGGCGCTGGTGGCTCACGCCTGTAATCCTAGCTACTCAGGAGGCTGAGATCTGAGGATCGCGGTTCAAAGCCAGCCCGGGCAGGAGAGACCGTGAGACTCCTATCTCCAATAAACCACCAGAAAACCGGAAGTGGCGCTGTAGCTCAAGTGGTAGAGCGCTCACTTTGAGCTGAAGAGCTGAGGGACAGCGCCCAGGCCCAGGATTCAAGCCCCACGACTGACAAAAAAAAAAAAAAATTATCCTATCAAACCTGTGTCAGAGGATATTACATTAGCATAGATTTTATTTAATATCAACCTTACTGAAAATTTAGTCTTCTAAGCCAGAAATTGCATATATCTGTTCACTTTTTGAAGTTTTACATTATATTTCAGTTTGACATCCTCCTGTCTCAGCCTCCTAAGTGCTGCAATTACAGTTGTATGCCACCACGCTCAACATCATTAATAGTTTCTTAGTTAGGTAGTTCATTTTTGTTTGGTGTTTGGTCATATTTTATCTTATCCTTCATTGTGGGTCAAAATCTTTTTTTTTTTTGGTTGGTTGTGGGGCTTGAACTCTGGGCTTGGGTGTTGTCCCTGCGCTCTTTAGCTCAAGGGGAGCGCTCTACTGCTTGAGCCACAGTACCACTTCGGTTTTCTAGTGGTTTATTGGAGATAAGAGTCTCATGGACAGTGGCGCTGTGGCTCAAGTGGTTGAGCACTCGCCTTGAGCTGAAGAGCGCAGGGACAGCACCCAAACCTAGAGTTCCACGGCCAACAGAAAGAGAAAATCAACTTTAAAAAAAAGGGAGAGGGGCTGGGAAGGTGGCTCAGTGGTAGAGTGCTTGCCTTGCATGCCTGAGGCCCTGGGTTTGATTCCTCAGCACCACATAAGCAAAAAGAAAAAAAAAAGCCAGAAGTGGCGCTGTGACTCAAGTGGTAGAGCGCTAGCCTTGAGCTGAAGAGCTGAGGGACAGTGCTCAGGCCCAGAGTTCAGGCCCCATGACCGACAAAAAACAAAAAAAAAAACAAAACAAAAAAAGAGTCTCATGGACTTTCCTGCCCTGGCTGCCTTTGAACCATGATCCTCAGATCTCAGCTTCCTGAATAGCTAGGATTATAGGCGTGAGTCACCGGCGCCTGGCTTCAAAATGTATTTTTGTATAAACTGTTCTGTTAATTTTTTTTTTTTTTTTTGGTGCTGGTTTTAGGGCTTGAACTCAGGACCTGGGTACTGTCCTTTAGCTTTTTTGCTCAAGGCTGATACTCTACTTCTTGAGTCACAGCTCCATTTCTGGCTTTTTGATAGTTAATTGGAAAGAAGAATCTTGAGGATATGTCTGTCTGGGCTGGCTTCAAACTGAGATCCTAAGATCTTGTCCTTCTATATAGCTAGAATTTTCTTTTTCTTCTGGTGCTGGTCCTAGGGCTTGAACTTAGGTCCTAGGTGCTATCTCTGAGCTTCTTTGCTCAAGACTAGTGCTGCACTACTTGAGCAACAACTTCACATCCAGTTTTTTTTTGGTAGTTAATGAGAGATAAAGAGTCTATCAGACTTTGCTGCCCAGGCTGGCTTTGAACCACAATCCCCAGATCTCAGCTTCCTGAATAACAGGCTTACAAGCATGAGCCACTAGCACCTGGTTCTTATTGTTTTGCAAAGAATGTTAAGCATATCACTGAACAATCACTCTAGATATTGTTGGAATTTGCACATCTACAGTAGGATTTCCTGGTTCCATTAGAAATTGTTAGGTCTGCCTGGGAGAATAGCCCCTCCCCCCCATTCCTCTTCACTGCCTGAAACCAGTAATCACCTGACTATACAGAAATGGGGTTCAGTGTATGTTTTTGGAGCAGGAGCTGCAGACTAAAGAGCAACAATCACTGAATGTGGAGAACGTGCTTCTCTCTTAGAGATGCAACCTGCTCTGAGTTGAAGAGGCAGCTTTTTCTTTCCAGACCCTTTCATTCTAGAAAATCTAAATCTCTAGTAAATGGCAAGGACCATTTGTGCCCTTGTCTGCGGGTCATCTGGAGCTGAATGTATAAATGAGGCCTAGCATACAGGAAGAATAGAGGTAAATAGAGTTTAATCCTCTCTGAGGAGGAGCCTGTGGACATCCAGGTATCAGTGAGGAGTTGCAGGCAAGTAAAAGAACTCAACAAGGGCCCAGTGTGGTGGTGGTGATGCACATTGGGAATCCAGCACATAAAAGTCTAAAGCAGAAGTATCACAAATTTCAGGCCCATTTGGGTAACATACTCCAATCCAGCTGGACTAAACAGTGAGGCCTTCTCAATAAATTAAAAAAAAAAAAATCATCATATCCCTCCTCCCTCCCCCAGTTAAAACATCAGCAGG